GCCTGGCGCCAAAAGTTCTGGCCATGATGACACGGCTCACTTTAGGTACCTATACCAATTTGTGAGTTCTGACATTTTAGACACTATGAGTGTGATGAAAGTATAGAACAACCCTCAAACTGGCCTTTCAGAAATGAGGGCAAGACAAAGAAGAGCTGGAGCACAGACTAAGGGAGACACTTGTGGCCAGGAGGCCAGGCCCAAGCCAGAGCCAAGGTCAAGGCTAGAGCCAGAGTCTGGACCTGGCTCTCCAGCTCCCTCCTTCCTACTGTTTTTTTCTTCTCCAAGCTCTTTCTGAAGGGCTGCTTTACTCTCATGAGGCAGTTTCAGAGGCAAAACAGCCTTAAAAAGTAGGCCCCAAATAAATGCATGAAGTCAGGTAACAAAATCCGATCCCCTGGCAGCAGTGGGGAAGGAGGCATTTAAATGCAGTCAGTGCAGAAAGAACACATAATTTAGAAATCAGCCCAATAACTGACAATTGACTTCTAAAATATTTATATCCTAATTTTTCAACTGTTTACTATTTTGAAATATTTATTTCTCTCCTCAAAGTAGAAATATTCATGCAGGAGTTTAAACTAAAACTGAGAGATTTTGGACCCAACTGTGCTTAAATGACAGCATGGTGTTTTCAGACAGACTGAAGGGAGAGCTTCTGGGAATGGTAGGAGTTGTGAGGAGAGCTGCAGCAGGTGGGGGGAACCCTGGGTGACTGATCTAATCATTTGCTCTCATTTACATACTGTATGACACTATTTTTGCAAGTGACCTCAGCTGACCTTCCCAAGAGTTCTGAGAGGTAGGGAGGGCAGGGATTTTGACTATACCATTTTTCAGGTGGTAAAACAAAGTCAGGGTCTTGTCCAAGATTATGTGGAGACACAATCCTGATCTCTCTTCTGTGTCGTGCAGCACCTGCTCATTTTTACCAGTGAGATTCATTTACCGCAAGCTTTCAGAGTAAGAGACATTGTGAAGTCTGACCTCATGAAATCCCCCTACCAGCCCTGGAAAGTAGGCACTGCAGGTGTGATTCTTCTGTTTTGCAGGAAGGGAAACCAAGGCTTAGAGCAGTAATGTGACCTGCTCAAGGCCTCACAATAAGTAAATGTCAGAGTCTGGGCTTGAACCCAGATCTCTCCTGACTCGGAGTCCAGAGTGCTTTCCATGCTGTCAGCCTTCCTTTTGAGAAATGAGAGAAGTAGGAGAGAACAAATATTGGTCAAGCCAACTCAGCTCTGAGGGCAATAAAACCTGATGGATACCTCACTCCCCAAAGTGGAGAGGGGCTGCCTCAGTCCTGCTACTGATCAGTCACCAAGTATTTCTGAAGAAACAAGAGTAGGAGGACTGAAAAAGGAAATAGTCACTGCCTTCAAGAAGCTGACTCTCCAATGAGGGACAAGGCACACACATACATTGGGACAAATAAGATGGCTACAGGGCAGACAGAAGGGAACCTCAGCGAGGAAGCCCTAGAATCTGGGTGAGAGAGAGACCCCTTCAGAAGGAGCCACTCAAGCAGAGTCTTGAAGGAAGCCAGGGATTCTGAGAGGTGGAGGTAAGGAAAGCAAGTCCTCCAGGCATAAGGAACAGCCAGGGCAGAGGCCCAAGGATCAGAGACAGAGCCCATGTGAGGTCCGACAAGCAGCCCGCTGCTGCTGGACCGCTGTATACAAGAAGGAGAAGAACCAGCAAACTGACAGGAAAGGCAGGAGAAGCCCCCATGGGGACAGGCAGAAATTCCAAACCAAGGTGCTCATGTTTGATCTAGCAGGTGACAGTGGCCCTGACATTTGTTCAGTGGGGGAGGGACATGGTCAGACTTGCACTTTTAGGGTGCTCAGTTTGACAGCTGAATGGACAGTAGGTTGGAGAGACTTCAGACAGAGAGATCCTGTTGTGGTCCCAGCCTGAGGCAATGAAGCCCCGAAGTGGGGTGGTGACTAAACAAATAGTCATGGAGGAAGACATGACAAGGTTTGGTAATGGGGCATTGAACGAGAAGTGAGGGAGAAGGAAGGCACTATGGCTGTAAGCCCAGATTAGGAGGAGGATGGTGGCCTCCATGGCAATAAGAAAGTGGGGAAGAGAGGAAGGTTTGAGGGTAAATAATTGGAAAGCTACGTCCAGCTTTGGACACATTGAGTTCAAGTTGTCTGCAAGACATCTAGCTTGAAACGTCCAAGAGGCAGTTGTGAGACAAGCCAGAATCCTAAGCCCAAAAGCCTTGGGAATGGCAGTGCCTCCAAATCACCAAACCTGCTCCCAGCCAAGTCCCCACAGCCATCAATGAGAGAGAAATGGTCGTGGCAAGGGGGCCTATCTTCCTCATCACCACCAGCAGCTGCCACCAATGGGCAGAGAAGTAGAGGTGCCCTGGGAGTTGCAGTATCTCCTAGATCACAGTCTTGCATCTAGCCCAGACCTCCCAGTCCTAATCTGAGAAAATAGCTCCTATGGAGAAGGGCCCAGCCATCCCCACCAGCTGCCAACCAAATGCCATATGCAAGGCAGGCAAGCCAAGTTAGCTGAAGCAGCCAAGCCCTCTGAGACAAAGACAGGAGGCAGCGTGTGCCAGACAAGCCAAACCACCATCTGGACCACCAGCTCCCCTCAGGCCCTGATGGAGACAACCCAGGACTCTGAACTCAAGAACCTGGGAGCAGCAAGGCCTCCAGCCTAGGATTCTCTGCCATCATCCTGGGAAGCCATTCTTCTGGAGACACAACCTGACCCTGCAGTCATAGCTACTAAGGACCCAGCAAAGAAAGTTCTTGCAACTATAGTTATTAGCACTGTCAAATGGATCAACACCAGAAATCGATAAGATCTTCTCAATAGAAATGGCATTAAAGAAGAGGCATGAGCATCACCTTCTCTGTTGCACTGTGAGGACCATGGGACCTTTCCATCTGCCTATAGCTGAAGACTTCCCCTTGTGTTGTCTCATCAGTGAGAGTTCCAGTGTAGCAGGCACTGACTGTCTGACTTTTCTATTTTTATTCCCAACCCTTAACATTTTGTGCATAGTAAGTGCTCAATAAATGCTGTGTTCGCTCATTTATTTCTTCTGTTGATGAAATAAGACTGATGTTTAAGAGAGAGATTAGAGATAGAAATGTAGCTCCAGAATCATCTGCCTGGAGATGGTGATTTAAGCCAAGGGAGCTGATGAGGTCCCCAAGTGAGAAGAGGAGAAAACAGCCTTCAAGGACAACAGCTAGTGGGTGGGACATGGACAAAGCTCTAACAAAGGAGATTGAGAAGTCAGACAGGTGGGAGAAGAATCTGGAGAGAGCAGGCTTGGAGAAAACTCAGAGAGGAGTCTCTAGGAGGAGAAGATGGCCAACAGTGTCAGAGGCTGCAGAGAGGTCAAGTAGGGTGAGGATGGAGAAAAGGTGATTGCATTAACCATTAGGAGCTCACTGGTGAATTGGGAGAGAGTAGTTGGATTGAATGATGATTTTGGAAGTCAGACTACAGAGAGTTTAAAAGAGAGAGGAAAGTAACTAAAGGCACCAAGTGTGAATGGCTATTTCTAGGAGTTTAGCTGAGAAGGAGAGGCGAGCTGCAGGATAGTGGCTGGAAGATGTGGAAGGCTCTAATGAAAGGGTTAAGGGTAAAGGAGACTTGGACTTCTTTGAAAACAGTAGTGCAATTATCGTGCTATAAGAAATAACAAGCAGGATGGTTTCACAAAAACCTGGAAAGACTTACATGAGCTGATGCAGAATGAAGTGAATGCAAAGTGAACAGAACCAGGAGAACATCATACACAGTAACAACAACGTTGTTCAGTGAAGAACTGGGAATGACTTAGCCATTCTCAGCAATACAATGGTCTAAGACAATCCTGAAGAACTAATGTTGAAGTATACTATCTGTCTCCAGAGAAAAAACTGATATTGATTGAATACAGACTAAGCAGGCTATTTTTCACTTTCTTTTTTTTTCTTTTATGCACATCTTCTTGTACAAAGTGACTACTATGGAAATGTTTTACATAATTGCACATGCATAACCTATATCTGATTGCTTACTATCTCAGGGAGGGGGGAGGGGAGAGAGGGATAGAACTGGAACTCAAAACTTTAAATAAAAAATGTTTTCAAAATATATAAAAAAGAAAACCATAGTGAGTAAACCAGTAGCTATCTAAAAACTGAAGTTTAGGAAGATAGTAGGAATAATGGTGGGGACCATCTGTTGAAGGTGCAGGAGGGTGGAATCATGGTACGTATACAGGGTTTTGCCTTGGCAAGGAGAAGGGCCACCTTATCATCAGACACTACAGTGAAGGAGGACTATGGGGTACGACATCTGAATGATATAAAATGAAGATAATGGAAGAAGAGACAGCTCCTGGAAAATGGCTTCATTCTTTTCTGGGTAAAGCATGAAATGAGAGCCTTGGCTGAAAAGGTTGGGAGAGGGAGTGCCATGGGAATCTTGAGGATTTGACAGCTTAGGAACAGCCAATATGGCGAGAGGCATGGTGCATCTATTGAAGAGGTCTAGAATAACTGCCTTCTCACAATGAGGATCTAGTTGGTGTTAGATCATTTAATCCTTTGCCATGCATAAGACCCAACTATCACAACTCCCAGTCACTACAAAGTTTCAGACAGACCAGATTATCTCTTGTAAATAAAGACAAGAGGTCATGGTGGGCTTAGACCATGTGATGTGGAGTCAGAGAAGATGGGTTTGAGCTCCTGCTCTTCCATTTAGCCACTTGTTTCACATGGGAATGCTCACAACCTCTCTAGGCTGCAATTTCCTAATTTGTCAAATGAGGGGATTGGGCTTTACTCCCTCTAGTGACCTTTCCAGTAAATGTCTCCAACTTCAATCTACCACAAATTCTCAAGATTCCATATGAGCAATTCTCTGGTTTCTAAGAGTGTCCCTTACTTCTGAACAACTAATAATGAAGGGGGGGGGGCCTTGACATGAGAACAAAGACGTTTCAGTGTCATTTACAAGGCAGCATATGGTGATGATTATAATTTAATGAAGAGCATACTGAGTACATCCCTCAAGGCTCCCAGCACTTGGAGAATTCTGTGCCATTACTGACATTACTTGGAGAGGCAAACTCCCCAAGGCCATTGGATGCATCCTTTCATTTGTGTCTAATTCAGTACACTCAAAAACACTTGGAAAAAATGATCCAAATTGCTTATAAAAAGTGAAAAAGCTATCCATCAGCCAAGTGTGTCCTCAGGAAAACCATAAATGCCTTAAAGATTCAGAGCATCACTCACACTTCTGCATGCATCTTTCTTCTCCCCTTCGGGAAGGAGTCTGACCCTCTGTACTAACAGAGGGAGGACCCAGGTGTAAAAATTGGGTTTCTTCACTCCTCTGCCCCTTTGCTACCAGTCTGTCACCATCACCATGTTAGCAGAAGAGGCCATGCAAGACTGATGGCCCAGTGGTATTTTCCTTTGTTTCATTGGTTCTCTTTGATTGGAAAGAGTATCACATGCTGGCAAGAAGTCACTCTGTGCTAAACTGGGCTGGTCTTTGGGAAGCAGACTTGGTCTGTTACTGGGGTCATATCAGAGCCCTTTGGGCACAATAGGACCTTCTTTGCTTTCTGGAAGAACTTTGAGAACCCAGGACTACCTTTCTTCCATGATGAGACATCAAAATCAAACTTTGTGGACATTTTATGCATTGAAAGTCATTTGAAAAAGATCTGGGGTTTGGGTGGACGGCAAGCTCCCTATGAGCCAACTATGTGATATAACAGCCAAACAAGGCCAATGGCAATCTTGGGCCATAATATCAAAAACAAAGGAGGTGATAGGTCCCCTGCACTATGCCCTGGACAGGCCACACTTGGAGTAGCATGCTCATTCCTAGGCACCATGTTTTAGTGGGGACAATAGGCTGGAGAGTGTCCAGATGGGGACAACTAAGACAGTGAAATGCCTCAAGTTCATGCTATAAGGGTGTCAGTTGAAGGAAGTGGGCATTTTCAGCATGGAGAAGAGAAGACTTGGGCAAGACATGATAGTTGACTTCATGTATGGAAAGGATTTGTACATGGAAAAGCAATTCAGCTGGCTTTCATTCAAAGGCAGAATCAAAAGCAATAGAGGGAAGCTGCTGAGAGGCCAGTGTAGACTTGATGTTAGGAACAAGCACTCAGCAATGAGAACTATCTCAAATGTGGCAGGCTCCCCTGCCCAGCCTTCTTCAAGTAGAGACTAGCTGGGTGCACTTGGGGGAACGTCAGGAAGAGGATTCTTTTTCAGGTTTGATTGGAGCAGATGGTCACCGAAGTTCCTTCCAGTTCTAAACTTCTGTGATTCTGTATTTGTATAAGACAAAAGAATGTCAGATTTGGTACTCACCATCAAAAGATCTTTTGTTGTCCATGCATTGCTAATTAAGACCAAACTAACAATTAATCTTAGATACTGTAGACAATGAGCAAACAAAGGGGTGGGGCAGGGATGCAAAAATAAGGGCTACTAGTTGAAACATATGTGAATGTTATTTTCTGGTTGTTTAGAACTTCACACAATTAAAGTTAATCACACTGTGATTAATTGATCTTAATTGATTTGAGATGGGCTCCTGGGGTATAATATAGGAGTCTGTCAATAGGCTTACAATTAATTCCAATCTTCTAAAAAACCTCAATGGTAATAAATGCAGACAACCATGGAACATAACAGTCCCAAGCATGCTGCCTCAGTGACATACAAGAGAAACACCCATACTGGGTGTATGACAGCCAGAGAATGAAGTCAGAAGACACAGGGATATAGGGATATCCTGGGTGTTGCTGGAAAGATAAACTGTGGCATCACTTTGGGACCAGACTTTTGAATAGAAACACCAAGTGTACTGGGAAGGAAGGAATAACTGGCCCAGCCTTCAGAGATTGGGGAAAATGTCTAGAGAGAGATGATGTGATCCCAAAAGAGGTTGATGAATGGTGTGACAAATAGAGCAACCATAAGCGGGAGTATCAAAGAGTATGGATGCCATTTCCTGACCCTGCGGGTTGAGGGTCATGAAAGAAGAAGCCAGCACTGGTAACACCTCCCAGAGCCTAAGTCTAGTCATGGATCTTTCCATGAAGTCACAGTGATACCTATGAGCCCCCTTCTCACATAAGAATATCTAGAAAAGGGGGCAGCTAGGTGGTGCAGTGGATAGAGCACTGGCTCTGGAGTCAGGAGAACCTGAGTTCAAATCCAGTCTCAGACACATAACACTTACTAGCTGTGTGACTCCAGGCAAGTCACTTAACCCCAATTGCCTCACAAAAAAAAAAAGAATATCTAGAAAGCCATATTTTCCTTATTGCCCATATTCTGTGCATTTATTTCTAGATATCTGAGACCATTCCTTTTATTGCTGATTCTTTTTTTTGCATTTTGTCTCTTGAGGATCTCTGGGTTAGCTTTCTGTGAGCCATCAACCTATGATGTAATTGCTACTTTCTGATGTCAAGCCTAACACTTGTAGCATTCTTTTTTCTCCCACCTTTTTCAGTTTAAATGTCTCTTAATCAGCTCACACTCAAAGCAAATATATATATTTACTGGTTCTCATTAGGTGTACTCCTCTCATGGGATAGAGCCAGTCATCTTTATATTCTAAATCATGGTATGGAAATCCACAATATTTTTTTCAAATACCATTTTTCTACCAATTGCTCATTTCCAAAATCTTCCTTTCCCTTCTTAATCCCCCACTTTCAACCATCAGCAGTAATGAAAACCCCATCCATGCCCCTAAAGTCTTCAATTTCTTCCCCAAGATTTTGTAATCCTTATAAAAGTATATTTTGGTGATATCCTTTGGTTTCCCATGACCACCAGGAGCGTTTATTAATTGTGAGATCTGACAAGGTTTCCCCATCACAAGCCATGTCATTAGAAAATAGAACCTTCCCTCATGCTGTCATCCAATAAACAAACTGGCCCCTCAAGTCCTCTTAGCAGAGAGCCATCAACCATGACTACTTATCCCTTCTTTCTCTGGCCCTTTGGATGGGGTCCATGTGTTCCACTGTCCTTCTTCCTTTCTCTTGGGTACAACTCCTGCCATAATTCCCCTCTGCCTCTTCAGATACTCATTCTTTTTGTTTTGTTTTGTTTTGTTTTTGCCAGGACACTTTTTGTTCATGAAATACACCTTTGTCTCTGATCCTTTGAGCTCCTTCATCTTCCATTTCAGAAAGAAGTTTCATTTTGTGTGAGTAGTTACTTAGCAGTAACAGAAGTACAAATATCACTCACTCTCTGCTGGTCACTGCAAAATCCTCTTTTTCCTCTGAGCTTAGTAGCCACCTTTCATAATAAATTCCTGATGCAAACAGCCTGTTGGTCATGCCTTTTCCCATGAGTGGTGGCTCCTGAGCAAGGCTTCCCCTGCTGGGATGTCCCATCTTTATTCTACCTTGTATTCAGGTACCTTCAGAGTCACATAATTCTCCATTCAATACTCACTGAGAATATGGTCGCTAGTTAGGCTCTCCCCTACAAGGAGGGTGGAATGTAGCACTTTCAGTCAGCTTTTTCAGCCTTCCATAATGCCTCATCTACAGTATTCAGATGACATTCTATTCCAGAGTCATCTAGTACTCTTTCTACTCTCTGATGGGGATGTTGTGGTTAGTAAGCCTCTCCTTTGAAAGTACATTATAGTTTACTCAGCCAAAGGCAATGAAAATCACTCCTCAAATCAATTTTCTCTTTCAACCAAGAGCAAGAAAGTAGATCCCTTCAGTCACACTGTTCACAGAAGTTAGCAGATGCTCAGACTAGGATCACATCTATTCTTTTAACTCAGAACTATTCTCTCCTCTTCTGTCTCTTCAGTCTCTTGCTAGACTCTCACGTAATATATGATAGAAACCAGTTTTTGTTCTTATTTATAATCAGACAAAAGGAGCAAACAAATGTTTCCCAGGACTCTAATTCCTCACATAAATTTGAGTGAAACTATGTAAGGAAACTGTCTTTAAGCTCTCCCCACCCCCTTCCCCAACTACTTCATGCCCCTTTGTTCCATGCAAATTATATAGGCTGGACTAAGTAGGGAACAATGAAAACGTTAGTGACCTTCTTCCAGCAACAAATTACAGACTTGTCTCTCTATACATTCAGAGTGGTCTTTCTACATTTTCTACCCAGATGAAGCTAATTTGCCCATCTGTTTTGACTAACAACTGGTAACTTCCAAACAAAACTTAAGTGCAAACAAGATGAACAAGGGTGCTCTGTGTGAGGGAGGCTCGACCATAGTCCACCTGCCAGTCTCTTCGTATTTGTTCCTACCTCCAGCTTCTCTGTTCATTCAGATTTTAAAAAATTTGTTTGCTGCTAAATGACAAAGGATTTTTTGTTTTAACTCTATCACCCAATGTGATAGCTATGCAACAAGCATGCCATCTGTGCCTTTGCACAAACCATAGGTAAATAGCACAGGGCCAAGCACAGATCCCTGGGAAAGCCCATTGGAGACCTCCTTCAAGATTGGCATATGTCTGCTCTTTTGGCTGTTAGGTACCTGAAACAAGTAACTCAAAAATAGCAAGTGCTTGTTGAGATCAGCTAAAAATGAGGTTCCATGATGGTTTCTCCTTATCTGTCCTCTGACAATGCAATCAGATGACAAGGATTGACAAAGGAGCAGCAACCATGCTCCCGGAAGGGGGGTGAGGGGCCCTTGGGAATTTTTGAAAGAGCCAAAAAAACAACCTCCAGAGCCCTCTAACCTCCCCTAGTTAGTGCTACTTTCCTTTTCTGGCCCTCTCCACTCCATCTCTACTTCAAGTGTGTCTCTGAAAGGCTGGACTCAAAGAATAGGATGATTGGAGCCAACTTAGAAGCAAATCAGTAGAGGAGTGTCCCAGGGCTCTATGCCTGGCCCTGCACTGTTGAACATTCTTACCTATGACTTGGACAAAAAGTATCAAAAAATACATATATAAAGGTGTGTTTTTTCAAATTTGCAGATGACACAAAAGTGAGAGGAATAGCTAGCCACCTGGATGACAGACTCAGGTTTCAAAAACAAATCTTGACAGGCTCTTGAAATCTAAGAGAGAGAAATGTAGCACCTTATACTTCACAAGTTCAAGATGGTGCAGACACAACTGGGCAGCAGTTTGCCTGATTTTTAATAGACTGGAAGCTCAATACGAGTCCACAGTGTGATGGGCCAAGAAAGTCAGTTCAGCCAAGAGAAGGCATTCAGAGAAGCCTGATATCAGTGGCCCTGTCCTCTGCCCTGAGCAGGGCACATGAAAGGCCTCAGGCTCTAGTCTGGGTACTATAGTTCAAGACATGGATGGATGGAGAGGGTCCAGAGGAGGGACCATCACCCATGCCCTGGAAGGTCCTTGGATGGAGCTAAGGTGGTTTATCCTATAGAACCGTGGGCATGTGAAGGGCCATCACATAGAAGAGAGATTAGACTTGTCCAAAGGGCAGACCCAGGAGTGATGGGAAGAAGGCCCAAAAGTTTCCATACAATCAGAACAGCCCTGAAGTGAAATGTGCTCTTCCAAGGTGTCAGGCTCCCTGTCTTCAGAGGACTTTCAGTGGAGAATGTATGACCATGGGACATGTTTCAAAGTGAGATTTTGGGCAAGTAAGGACTGGATTTCATCAAGCCTCTGAGGACTCTTCTGATATGGAGGCAGGTGGTGGGAGGGGTACCATGCTTTGGAAGACACCAATGCTTTTGAGACCAAAAAGAACAACCCTGGTTACAGTTCACACTCAGCATTTTAATGATGAGAGCTTACCTTTACAGAAATCCTGTGACCCTCACACAACCCTGGGTCCCTGAAGCTATGATCATGCCAATTTTAAAGATGAAGAGACTGAGGCTCAGAAAGTCAATTTCCCTCAATCCCAGGCCTGGGAAATGTCTGGGGCAGGACTGGAGCCTAGATCTCTCCTGCTGCCCTTTCTCTGGAGCTGATGCAGTTACTGTGCATGGGGTGTGTGAAGCAGGGTCTGAGGGGGACAGAAATGAGTCATGCCAGCTCAACTGCCACAGAACCTTGTGAGAGATGCAAGGGGCCGGCTCTGGGAGTCCCCTCCATGATGATACCTGTGCTCAAGTGCTGGCTTCCCGGTGACCAAGCATCCCTGGCTGTGAGGCCTTTTGCCCCATGAGCCTCTTTCTGTGCCTAGAGAAGACTCACTGGGGACCTGCTTTCTTCCCAGAGATGCTGAGAGGATCCAATGAGAATGTGTGCCTCAGTATGTTGTCAACTTGAAGGGGCCCAGGGAGGTGAGCTAGACGTCAACAACGATACCAGATGAGCCCAAATGCTCA